TGTAAGCCCTACCCCACAAAATATGGCGAAAATATCCGAAGGTGCCAACCCGCAGGAACAGGAGGGGAGGCAAAGGTGATCGTGTTGCTTGGTGCCTTCGGGATACCGCTAGGTTGTTGAGCAGCACTGTGCCCAGCTGAAGAGGGGGATTGCCAGGCGGCTGCTCTCTTACGAGTGGGCTCCCAAAGAGCCGGGCACAGCCTCATGGGCAAAGGGCTGTGCTGCGCTGTCACAGCAGCACAACACAACAGCCATGAAGCGACCACGCTCACGAGCAACCACCTGGTAAACCCTCTTTCCAGCCTGGCACAGCGCCATTCACTGACCTAGAGATATCGCTAAGCCACGGGAGCGCCTGTTCGCCGCTGCCTGGCTCCCGCGGCTTGGTGCCTTTGAAATGCTAGTGAATGGTGCTCTGCACGGCTGGAGAGGGGGGGGGTTGTGCAAGCAGCTGTTCCGCTCTCACTCATGCATCTCCCAGTCTAATGATACCCTGGCCCAGCTCTCCACACAGAGCTAGGGCACCTCCGCTGCCGTTGCCATCCCATCATGGCTTTTTCGGTGGCTTCCAAACCACAAACCGCTCTATGGTTGTACGCTTGGCTGGCAGCTGGCCCACAACCATAGAGTGTACGCTCAGAGCGGCCACTGCTGGAAGACTCGGTTTGGAAGCTGCCGAAAAAGCCATGCTGGGATGGCGGCAATGGAGGTGCTCTGGCTCTGCGGGGAGAGCTGGGCCAGGGCATCGTGAGCCTGGGAGGTGCACGAGGGGCAGCGGAACAGCCATTCGCACAAGCCCCTTCTCCAGCGCCTTTCATTGGCATTTCGAAGATGCCGAGCCACGGGAGTTGGGCAGCGGCGAACAGTTGGTCACGTGGCTTGGTGATACCCCTAGGTCAGTGAATGGTGCTGTGCCCAGCTGGAAAGGGGGGTTGCCGGGTGGCTGCTCGTGAGCGTGATCACTTCATGGCTGTTGTGTTGCGCTGCTGAGACAGCACAACACAGCCATTCTCCCATGAGGTTGTGCTCAGCTCTTTGGGAGCCCGCTCGCAAGAGAGCAGCCGCCTGGCAACTCCCTTCTTCAGCTGGGCATAGTGCTGCTCACCAACCTAGTGGTATCCCGAAGACGCCAAGCAACATGATTACCTTTGCCTCCCCTCCTGTTCCTGCGGCTTGGCATCTTCGGGATACCACTAGGTTGGTGAGTGGCGCTCTGCCTGGCCGGAGGTGGGGGGTTGTCCAGGGGGGTTATTTGCGGGGTAGGGCTTACATTTTTGCCCACCAGAAAAATGTGGCATGGCCTTATTATCAGGACATGTCGTATTTTGGGGGAAACGCGATATATTTATATCTATGTGCTTGGAAAGCGGGTTACATTGAGTGGAATAAATGAGCATAATATTTCAGCCTTCCTATTTGATTTTTCCAGCTTTAAGTTCATTTCATCTTCGCCTTGAAACTGTTTTCTGAGGTAGAATGGGGCTTTGTCTCCACAACATTGTGTGTAAATGTCATTTCATTTCTCTTCTTATTTATGGACTTTATGTACAGTGCAAAAATTTGTATAATGCACATTTCCTGCAAGCATTCTCTATACATTTATTCTGTATATTGTTGTAACTAATACGCAGCCTTTATGTGCACCTTTTTGTTGTCTAAGCATTAAGTAATGTAATTCCCCCAAAAGTAAAAGTATAACTAAATAATGTTGTGGGTAGTTACCGAAAGGCTGCTCTTTTGTGATAATTCTTGAGGCTTTATAAGTAACTGCAGCTGTTCATAAAAGTCTGTGACTACCAGAGCTCCAAGTATCACAAATAGTGTGCTGTGATCCATGAACATCTGCTGATAATTTTGTTATTTTTTAAGATGCCACAACTTAATTATTTCTACGAGGATAAAAGTTTACTGTTTACATTTTTAAAATTATAATTAAGTATAGTTATATTGTGAGCTTCCTTTTCTAGTAATAGATGAAGATTACAGGCACAAAAGGAGAGCTGAAAATCACTTGTGATTAAAAAAAAACCATTAGATTTCAACTCTACCTGAAAGTTGCAGGGATTCTGTGAGAGAGATCCTTTTTCCTTTCAGTCCAGGAGACCAGAATATTCAAAACCTTTATTTTTACACAATGTTATTATATGGTTTACAATATGTTTTTAATTTGTATGTATATTCCATGGTGGCTCCATCTCTCTGGAACATCATTCCCCCAGAGATTAGCATGGCCCCCACTGTAATACTCTTCCAGAAGGCGCTGAAGACCTGGTTCTGCCAGTGGCCTGGAGAACCCAGAGGGGGATGGAGCCCATTAAATGGCTTGTGTGATCTGATGTCGCTGGGGCGGAGGGTGGGAGGTGATTTTGTTATATTGTACTATATTAATTTATTTGATTCTTTTTGTTAGTTTTTATTGTTTTAAATGTGGTTTTATATTCTATAAGCTGCCTTGAGTCGCCATGGGCAGCAATATAAATTCAATAAAAAAATNAGTCAATATAGGCACAGAGTTAAAAATTTTTAACATTTTCTAATGGTGGTGTGCCTCGTGATTTTTTTCATGAAAAAAGTGTGCCTTTGCACAAAGAAGGTTGAAAAACACTGACTTAATGGATACCCTGGATGAAAAGGTAATTCCTAGTTAAGAGGGCCACTTGTCTTTCCAATTCTTAATATTTGGCTGTCCAAGACATTGTGAAAAAGGGCTTTTAATCAGTGCTGTTCTGGAGCAACTCAATTTAAGTTGACTGTGTTAAACTCATTTTGGACAGTTCAGCCAAGATAGTAACTCAACATATGACTTAGATTCTGTAACGGAAAAAGAATTTGGCATTAGTGTAACTTAGAGAGAAGCGGGGGGGAGGAGGGGGCGGGAGAGAAGGAAGTTAAGTACTGATTTCATTCCATTTACCTAATCCCTAGTTCAGACGTGTGCCATATTTTAATTACATCTTGACAAGATTTGTTTTGCTGTCCCGTTGTAAGAATTGAAGAACTGCAGGACAAGGTGTGAGAAGAGAGAGAACTGCTTGCCTAATTGCTTCACTTGACATTTGATACCAGGAGTGTATGATAGGTGAAACATGACAAGTACTGCTATCTTTTTAATAAAATAATCTGTCGCATTACATTAGCTTAGTATTTCTAGGATAATACTTGTTTTCACTTTGCAGATGTCTTTCCCACCCACCCCTTCAATTAAAATGTTCCTTGGTGCCTTTTTTATTTCCGAAACAATGTCAAGTCAAACTGAAAAGAAAATTGATGTCTGAGAGAATTAATAATGTCAGTTTTACCACCCATTTCCTTTAAAAAGCATACTTTAAACTCAGTAGGGACATAGAAACATCTGTAGGCATAGTTATAGGCTTCCAATTTGTCTCTTGCAGAGAAGATTACCATGAAGATGGGTTTTGCCAGCCTTACAGGGGAATTGCCTGTGCGCGAATCATTGGAAACAGGACTATTTATGTGGATTCCCTTCAAATGCAAGGGGAAATTGAAAACCGAATTACTGGTAAGTCAGTTCTACCTCTCTTCATGTCAGGGAATATTGTATTTCATGCAGAAACTTAAATCTAATTTTAACACCATTATAAATGGAAATCAAGCCAGGCAATTTTTGGAAAAAATTGAGGCAATGTTGCTTTCTGACTATGCAGTATTTTTTTCACTGGGCACCAATTTTATATTTGTTGGAAAGCTTTATGAGGATTAGGGCTGTACTTTTTTAAAAAAAAGTTTTTAAAAAAGCCCTTTTTATAAAATAAATTGTAATTATTTAAATAATGGCTGCATGAGTTATCGTAGGATATTTATAGTCTTTGGGGAAAAAATTAGTGGAGAAATGGATGATGCACCTACTTTATCTTTTACTGTGTATGAAAAAAAAAGTATTTCGAAACACTATAAGATCTATAAGTGATCTTTTGGCTCTATGAACCCTATGACATTATAACTTTTATAAAAAAGAAATTTTCTTATCCTGTTAGTTTCCACTCTCGTGCATTAGAATGCAAATGACATGCTTACTATTAACAGATATGCAAATTAGAAAATTAATTATCTTTCTTTGTTCACAGTCTGATTCAATTCTATTTTCAGAGTTGTGAATTTTAAGCAAGGAATTTGATGCTTGATTTTTGTAAAGGATTTTTGCTTAGTTAGATGATACTTTGATGCTATCTCTTTTGTTGACCGCTTAATAGAATATAATCATTTCCTGTTTAGAGCTTGCTACATGCATTCCCAACATGCAATCTGTGGATTACATTTCAAGTATTGTGATATTTATATTATATCAAATGCTTTTTATATGAATACCATGTTTCCCCAAAAATAAGACAGGGTCTTATTTTCTTTCCCCCCACAAAATATGGCGAAAATATCCGAAGGTGCCAACCCGCAGGAACAGGAGGGGAGGCAAAGGTGATCGNTCTTTTTGTTAGTTTTTATTGTTTTAAATGTGGTTTTATATTCTATAAGCTGCCTTGAGTCGCCATGGGCAGCAATATAAATTCAATAAAAAAATAAATGTTTAATGGTTACTATAAGAATTATTTTACAGGAGACACTCTTAGGTTTATACTTATTGTCTTTCCCCACCTGCCAATCTGAATTAGGAGATGAGTTTGTAGATACAGTCATTATAGCTGTATTTTGGTACTTTTCATCAAAGTGAAGTTCGGTTTACTAACAGATGGACTATTTTCACTTTATTTCCATTCTTATATAACTCTCGGTGCCAGCTTCCCCACCTTTGGAATAAATTTTCAGGAAAAATGGAATGGTAAATCAACAAAACTGCATACAGGAGAAGCCTATAATTTAAGAAAGTTTTATGTCTGTGATAAAACTAAATATAGGCCTTAAATCATTGTCATTGCAGATTCAACTAATAAACAGATGAACAATCTTTGCAATAAAAAGCTAGTGGTACATAGGCACAGAAATATCAGTTGATTATGTGTTCTATATCTCTTTGGATATATAAAATCTTCCTCACATTGAATCAGGGAAATTACTCAAAAACATTTTTGTATCAAGGGAAAAATTATCATAAATGAATGTATCCGTCCACTAATTTCTTTCTTGGTTAGCCCAGTGAGATACAATTCTGAGAATGGAAATTAGTGACATCTACTGTCCAAATAGGAAAATTAGCTGAAAGATATTATGTTGAACTTTATGGTGTTAAAACCTTTTAGTGGGTGAGTGAAACAGTCCTAATAGCTTTTGGAAACACAAGTATAGTTCAAATTGTACATAGGTTTCTTTTCTCGTTGCCTACTTTGCTACTTAAGGCTGAAGCTTCCTTTAGTCCTCTATAATTCAAAACTTTGTACCTGGTGAAAAGACTTGGTATCTTTATATCATCTAAACCTGTAGAATTCATTTGTATAATAGTTCTCTGAAGACTCGAACTGGAGTCAGCTTAGCTTCTGAGGGCTCTTACATCATCAGCAGGACCTGCAGAGAATGTAAAGTCAGTGTTTAGGAGATTAAGCCATGAAACTGGTCCTTGTTCAGATCCCCCCCCCCCCCCCCCCCGGAATTCTATGTTCCAATATCAAACCCATTCTGCTCAAAGTAGTTAAGTAGTTTCAGGCTAACTTTCAGAGATCCTGAATAAATATACATCTTTCTGATTTAACTCAATTTAGGATTTAGAGAAAATACCCAAATCCTAATTCACATTCTTTCATGAAGTTACATAGGCTTGAACCAAGCAGTATATGGAAAGTGCCAGTAGCAGCATCATGACTGAAGGATGAAATTGCTACTAGCTATGCACATGAATTACGCATTGATTCCTACGTATGGCCAATAATCGTTGAGACTGAATGAAGGCAGTAAGTCCCAGCACTTACGGTCACAAAATTGTTTGTCAATTTCCTTTATCTGGAAAAAAAACAAAGTTGATACACAGTTTCTCAGGAATCAAATTGCCTGACACATCATTTTTATTCTGTGGTGTATTTGTGTGTGAGAGATAAAGTCTGTTTTGCTCAATAATGTATCATCATTGATTAAAGTGAGTTTAGTAGCCCATTATACTCTTTAGTTCAGATTACAGAAGTCATCAGCAATTACCTAGTTCTTTTGCATATGCTCATTTTTAAATATTCAGTACAGTCATAACTCTTGCAATTAAAAAATCTATAACAGAGAATGCTAACTAACACAACTTAATACTAACAACAATTTCCTTTATTTTACCTAAATATTAGATTCAGGATTTTTAAAATTTAACTATTAGTTTGTTTGAAATCTGCCCCAGACTTTCAGACTTTTAGGAAGAAGTGGTATTTAGGCAGAAATATTGAAAATCGAAAAGGGTTCACAAATGTTTAAGCGCCATTGTATATATTCAAGAAAACTCAAATAATAAATACCAATATTGGATATGCAGTTGTTGCTGAGGCAGAGGAGAAAGCAAAGTATGTCAATATTCAAGAGTCTGGCTTTAAAATAGGAATTAATGTTAACAGTATAATTGAGCTGAATAATACCCATCCCTTCTTAGCAAAATGTGGTGTCCACCCAGTGTTTGAGGATTTACTGGTTTGTGTTTTAGAGTAGAAAATGCATCTTTAATACCTATCTAGTGTAGTAATGAAAATAAACAATTTAATTTTAGACAAGAGTTAAGTATGGCTTAGTCCTAGAACTTAGCTACAAAACATGTGAAGTGAGACTAGAGAAATGCATGCTTTTAATAAACACATTGTGCTTTTATCTTATGACTCAATGAGCACAGTTCATTCCACCACATTTTGGATTAGACAAGTACACACACGTGGGATTCTCGGCAGGTTTGAGCCTCTTTATTTCCAATTAGTAGAATATTTTAAATCTCTTCTTTTGTAATTCAAATCAGAAAAAAAGCTGTATAACAGAAACTTCCAGTGGGTGATTTGTGAACTATCAATGGGCTCTGATAAGTTGCCAAGTATTGGGAATGAAAAAAATCAATATAGTAGATTTCCTGGGAAGTCAATTTTATGTAACAGACATGTAATCTGATAGTAAATTGCTTCTTCCTCTTTGCTTTGGAGGCAAGGTGTAGAATTCTGAGAGGGGTTAGCCAATTCCTCAGTTCTAGAATGATGCCACAAAAACAAAGACTTAATAAATTAAAAAATATGTGAGAAAACTAGATAAAGTTTGTTCTAGTTATTTATAAAGTCCTAAAATATTTCCTCATCTCGATATTGACTGGGTTGACTGGATGCTAGAAAATTGATCTTCACAGTTAGTACCATATACCATTTTCCTTCTTCAGAATCTTGTTAACCTTAGGTGTCAAAATATATAAAGACTTTTACAGTGTATTTGATTTCTGCTGCAGATAGATTTTTATTAGTGCCCTTAGTAATTGAAATCATTTCAAATATATAAAAAGCAGTAGTAATGTATTGATGTTCAGTTATTATAAAAACTTGATTATAGAGACGTGATGGATCTTGATCATTGGCTTCTCTGTCTGTCTTTTCAGCTGCATTTACTATGATTGGCACATCCACCCATTTATCTGATCAGTGTTCCCAGTTTGCCATCCCATCTTTCTGTCACTTTGTGTTCCCACTGTGTGATGAGCGTTCCCGGACACCTAAGCCTAGAGAGCTGTGTCGTGATGAGTGCGAAGTTCTAGAGAACGATCTCTGTCGGCAGGAGTACCACATTGCTAGATCCAATCCTCTCATTCTGATGCAGCTCCAGCCACCTAAATGTGAAGACTTGCCACTGCCTGGTTCTTTGGAGGCTTCCAACTGTATAAAAATTGGAATTCCTGTAGAACGGCTCAATAGATGTAAGTTATTGTCACATTTCCTTTCTGCTTTTCTCTTCTATTTGTTTAATGCAGAAATGGGGAACGATGGAGCCCTTTATGACTTGTGGGCTTCAACTCCCAGAATTCCTCAGCCAGCATGGGAGTTGAAGTCCAGAAGTCATAAAAGGGCCATAGTTGCCCACTACTGGTTTAATGCAAAATTAGTATGGATTTTTCGGCAGAGTACCATTTCTGAACTTATGTATTTGCCTGTGTTTCCAAAATTTAACAAGTTTCAATGTTTTGCCTTTTGACTGCTGGGAATTAGCTTGGAGGGAGGATACAATGATGAGAAAGAGGAATAGCCCAGGTGAAATCTTTCCCCCAGCTTCTCATCTATATAGTGTAAAGGAATATTACCAGAAACATGCAGAGGCTGCCTGAAGCACCTGACCAGTTGCCAGACCTCCCTGAAAGCAAGGAATGCCCTTCTTCAAGCTAACTGCTTTTAAGTTGTGCCTGCTTCAGAATGGAACCATCCAAACACAGTGCGGTGAGGGTATAATCTTTCACTGTTGTTAAGCACTCAAGATGTTAAGGCTGCAGTGAAATAAATTTGGTGGAGAAAAAGGAGATAACATTTTGCAACCAGACTAGATATAATACACAAAAATGGTACTTGGTAGTAATACCAAGAGAAAGATCTAACAGGAAAAAAGCAGAAGAGAAGGAAGAAACTAAATGGGGAGAGAGGGAGGAAGACAGCTTCAAGGTGGTGAATCCGCTAGAATACTTTGAGCAAGTCAAGCAGGTGAGACAGACCAATGTTGACATGGGTGTTGTAGTTAATTTTTGGACTCTTCTTTAGGCATAAAGCTTATCAGAAACTCATGTTTCCTGGCTAGGTTACTTTAGATTTTTTCAGCAGGCTTGATTGTTTCCCCCCCCCTATTTTTAGAAAAAGCAGCTGATCTTATCCCAAATCAAAGAAAGGAATATCTTGGAGCAGAAGCTTTATTGTAGAGTTACACGTTGTATGTAGCAAACATACAACGTGTAACTTTACACATTGAGTGTTAGAAAGAGTGGTGCGGTGGCCTAGAGGTGGAGCTCTCGTCTCACAATCAGGAGACTGTGAGTTTGATCGTAGGTAGAGGCAGATATTTTTCTCTCTGGGCACACTGAGAGTATATCTGCTGATAACAACTCTGCGTACGGGACAGGAAGGGCATCCGGCCAGTAAACACTCAGCTCGATTCAGTTGCCCAGACTCCAACCCGCAAGGGATTATGGGGTCGTTAAAAAAAGGATGGCACATTCTATGTAGCAAAGAAACACATTTACGATGCAGAGAGAGAGAATGGGTACATTTCTTGTTGTTTCATATGTCTCTTATTAAATCTACTTTTTTTTGCAGATCACCAGTGTTACAATGGCTCTGGTGCTGATTATAAAGGAACCATTAGTGTCACAAAGTCAGGCCACAATTGTCAGTATTGGGATTCCCAGCATCCTCATCCCCATGACTTCACAAGTACAGAGTTTCCCGAGCTTGGAGGTGGGCATGCTTATTGCCGCAATCCTGGAAGCCAAATGGAAGGACCTTGGTGTTTTACTCAGAACAAAAACGTACGCATGGAACTGTGTGAAGTACCTGCATGTAGTATGTATTACTATTATTTTTTTACCATTTCTAGAATAAAATTATTCAAGCATGAATTATTATTGCTTTGTTTGATGTGCAAAAATGCTTTTTATTGGTGTTTTTAGAAATGAAATCAATTCTTTTTCTATCAATGTATAATGTGTGTATTCATTGACACTGATGCTAAGAGACTTAGCATGCATATATATATATATATATATATATATATATAT